GGAGAGATTATTTTGGCCATGTGCTCTTATCTTTCATTGGCTGGACTTGAAATTCTTGTCTTTCACTTGCATGAATTTCTTCATTTTATGTGAAGATTGGGCTGTTGTCTAATCAGTAGTCAACTGCCTGGGGGCTAATGCATACTTACGGTCCGGTAATTCCTCAATATGAAGCTGCAGAATTGAATTTTAGTGCCTTTTTTATCTTGCCTGTTTTCACTCTCTTTCCAGAGATATGTCAAAAGTAAAATCTCACATATCCATCTATGCTACAGGTGAATACCCCCAGAATATGTGCTCGTCTTATTTGGGCCATTGCTGAACACATAGATTTGGAAGGTCTGGATCCACTTTTAGCTGATGATCCTGATGATCCGCTTAACATAATCATATCAAACATCCACAAGGTCTTGTTCATGTTCAACATGGATGCATCTGCAGAAGCATCAAATAGACTTCAAGATGTTCAGGCAGTTCTTTTGTCTGCTCAAAGGTTGGGATCTCGTAATGCCAGGGCAGGACAACTACTAATTAAAGAGCTTGAAGAGTTCAGAAACAATAGTTTGGCTGATTCTGTGAATAAGCACCAATGCCGCTTGATATTACAGAGAATTAAGTATGTCACTAGCCATCCAGACAATAGGTAAGGTCAACAATCTTCGATTCCTTTCAGAAAATGCTAGCTTAATTTGGCAGATCTTGTCTTCGCTTTGTTATCAAATTATTTTTGTTCATATTTAGGATCAAATATGTATCCCTTACAGGTGGGCTGGAGTTAGTGAAGCCCGAGGTGATTACCCATTTAGCCATCATAAGCTAACTGTTCAGTTCTATGAAGCTGCTGCTGCTCAGGACCGAAAGTTAGAAGGATTAGTTCATAAGGCTATCTTGGAACTTTGGAGGCCGCAACCAAGTGAACTAACCTTGCTGCTGACCAAGGGAATTGACTCTACCTCACTTAAGGTTCCGCCAACTGCAATTACTTTGACTGGAAGCAGTGATCCTTGCTATGTGGAAGCATATCATTTGGCAGACTCGGGTGATGGGAAGATCACTTTACATTTAAAGGTACATTTTGGTTTTAGTTGGTGTGCATTTGGTGCCTAAGTTGTCCTTGCCATACTATGTGCTGTGAGATAATAACTCCTGTAAATGTTCAATTGCATTTTTTTTAAGCAAGAAAAGAATGTGTTGTTTGTCCCACATAGGCAAAAGAATGAAAGATGGGAATAGTGGTTATAAATTACTCAGGGATGCATTGTTAATTAGTCTATCATGCTCTTCCTAGCACCTGAAATTGAGACTATAGTGATCGCACTGATATTGGGTGAGGGTACCTACTGCAGGACCGAAACTTGAATTCATCTTCCAAGTCACTTGAATGTAGCTTTTGGCATCAATATCATTCTCTGCTGGGTTTTATGTCATTGCATGGCAGTGTAATTTTGCAACTTTATATTCTGTTGATTTAGATAGCCAGTGAAGTTACTACAATGCTTTATTTTATTTCTGCTCATGCTTGCTAAGATAGAGAGCATTCCTATGTTCAGTTGTGTTGGTAGATATGTAACATGGAGGTTCATCAGCCTCAATTTTACTAGGAGATAGAAAGACCTTGGAATCAATGCAATTCTTTTCATTAGTTACACACTGCTCCTGATTTTTTACTGTTCTATAATTCAAGTTGTGAAACAATACCATGCTAATTTGATGAAGTTGTTTCAGGTGTTGAATCTAACTGAACTTGAACTGAACCGGGTTGACATTAGGGTTGGCTTATCTGGTGCGCTGTACTATATGGATGGGTCTCCTCAGGCTGTCCGGCAATTGCGAAATCTTGTTTCCCAGGTCCCTTTTCATAATCTGTATATTTTAGATCCCTTCATTTGTGGTTCCTGGTTTCCTATTTTAGGTCCATATAAACTTCTACTGAGTGCATGTGTTTGAAATTTTAATTGCTAATTCATGAGCAGGAGAATGTTTATGTTGGATTAAGTCTTCCATGAATTATTATGGTAGAGTAATGTCTTGTCAGTATGATAGAAGAGAGCTTAAAAAAACAAATGTCCTCTTTCTTGGTCTTTTAGCCTGGTCTGTATAGATGTCCTCAGTTGCAAAAACAGTTCTATTTTCTATTTCAGGAGTTTCCATGTGAAAAGATTGGCTGTATAAATTATCCAAAAACGAAAAGATTGGCTGTATAACGTAGGCAGTGGGATATTAATTACTTTCAGACGGTTCATGTAAATTGATTATTACTTCAATCTTGGTGATCTATTCCCAGGATCCAGTTCTCTGTAGTGTCACAGTGGGTGTCTCTCAGTTTGAGAGATGTGCTCTATGGGTTCAAGTTTTATACTACCCCTTTTATGGAAGTGGTGCTGCTGGTGATTATGATGGTGATTATGCTGAAGAGGATCCACAGATTGTCAGGCAGAAGCGAAGTCTAAGGCCAGAACTGGGTGAACCTGTAACTTTAAGGTGTCAGCCTTACAAAATTCCGCTGACAGAGCTTCTATTGCCTCATAAAATTTCACCCGTCGAATTCTTCCGTCTCTGGCCTAGTTTACCAGCTATTGTAGAGTTAACTGGTACTTATACCTACGAGGGAAGCGGATTTAAAGCAACAGCTGCACAGCAGTATGGGGCTTCTCCTTTCTTGAGTGGCCTAAAGTCATTGTCTTCCAAGCCTTTCCACAGAGTTTGCTCACACATCATCCGCACAGTGGCAGGCTTTCAGGTAGGATGTTAAACTTGGTATTTACCATTTTGCCTGTGTGGAACTATTGCCATTAGGTTGGTAGTTTGAAAATTTATGTGCAATTATGTTCTCTTCATGCACTTAGAGATGCCATTCACCTTTGATATTTATTCTCGATTGTTCTGGAGTAAATTTGAGACCAAAACCATGTAGAAACTCATGAATTATTGTAATACGAAATTGATGAAAGTAATGCCTCTATATGTGCTGAATTGAGATTGTTGTAGTTTTGTTAAACCTCTGGGTAAGTTGGTATATAAGTTGTGATGTCTCTGCACTCAGCATTGTCTGAACCCCTAGCCACTGTCTAGGTATTCTAACATTAAGTTACTGATATGATATTTGACACAGCTTTGCTTCGCTGCAAAAACTTGGTATGGAGGCTTCTTGGGCATGATGATTTTTGGAGCCAGTGAAGTGAGCAGAAATGTGGACCTGGGCGATGAGACAACTACTATGATGTGCAAGTTTGTTGTCCGAGCTTCTGATGCTTCAATTACGAAGGTCATAGAATCAGATCTTCAGGGCTGGTTGGACGACCTTACTGATGGGGGTGTTGAGTATATGCCTGAAGATGAAGTGAAAGTGGCTGCTGTTGAGAAGCTTAGGATCTCAATGGAAAGGATAACTTTGTTAAAGGCAGCCCAGCCTCCTCCCAAGACTCCAAAATCTGACGATGAAGAGGAAGAAGATGAGGAAGAAGACGAGGAAGTAGTGGAGGACGAAGAGAAAAGGAAGAAAAAGAAGGAAAAGAAGAAAGATGCGGAGAAGGAAGAACCTAAGGGACCTGCAACCCTCTCAAAGTTGACCGCGGAGGAAGTCGAGCATATGGCTCTTCAAGCGGCTGTTCTACAGGAATGGCACATGTTGTGTAAAGATAGAAGCACCAAGGTTAATTGATTTGCTTCATCCTAGAAGGTTTTGGTTTTATTTTTTTTTTTTTGTATTAGTCTTATCCCGACTATGCAGTGGGTTTTGCATTGGGGGGATGACATGATTAGAGATGGATTGTTTATCTTTTTTCCCTGAATTGGGTGTTTGTGAAAGAGGCGGCGATTGCTAGGAGGAGGATTTTGTTGTATATCTTTGTAGCAGTACCATTAGTCTGTTGTTCATACATACGATTACCAATGAACTCGTCAATTCTTTTGGCGGTTGTCAGTCATCCTGTAGACGTCCCAGAACATATATGGGGACTCCTGTAATATGAAAAGTCGTGTATTTTTTTCCTTTTTTGGCTGGTAGATTTGTGTATTTGAAAACTGTCCAACCCGCGGCATTTATGTGGAAGGTAATTCTATTTCCCATGATTTTCGATTTTGATATTCAATATCCTTAGCTTGAATATCCCTTTGCCATGATAAGGCTCAATCAATTCGCTTCACGCGTTATCAGCTTCGAAGACTTGCCATTCTTCTTGGGTGAGTTTGTGGATGGATGACATGGGAACGGGCATTTTGTTCCGAGAGATACAATGCTGGTTTATAGACCATACTCACAAGTAACCTTCGCTATGGACCGACCATTCTGAGAAATGAACCGGATAATGACATACAAGGCGCAGGACAGCATTTGAGCCTAAAATTCTGACAGCTGCACCTTAAATCAACTATTCTGTCGACTTCTAATTACTAATCATCTCGGCTTCATGCTCCATAAACGTCTCGCGAATGAATTCCACCATTCGGGCCATCCATTGGTTCACACTCCAAAGACTCCCGTCATAGGTATACTCGCAGGCCGCATGACCCGTTTCTAGGTTATTCAACAAAGGCAAATGTTCGCAAACAGGTGTTCCTCCGAACTTCCAAGGATCGGGTAAAAGGGAGCTACTTTCTGGGGTTTATTTGCCCTGGAAATTGTTTGGGGAAATTGGACTGCAACAACAGCATGCATAGGAAAAACTATAGGAATGATAAGCAGATTCCTGGAAAGGAAAAAGATGAGAGGGATTTCAGGAGAAGGAAAGCGAATTCCTAAGCGAGAGCTCCCATACATTTGATTAACCCCCATTAGCAAGATGCTGAAAGCATCTATTTTCCTCATTCTTGCTTATTTTTAAGTCAACTAGGAGAAAACGTTCTCTGTCGACCACACTGTTACACATGGAAAGCAGGATACTGCTCCACTCAGAAACTGTTCTTCTTCAACCAAATGGGGCCTAATTAGCACATGTGGTTCCCAGTAAAACCTTGATTATTTAATGCCCAAAAAGAACAAAACTGGGGAACAATTTCAGTGAAAAAAACTCAACTTGCTTCTAATTTCATGACTCTGAGAATTTTCATTACAGATATTTGCTTCTTCTATCTCAATCAGAAGCAAATTGAGCCGGTCGTACAATGGGAGGAGGTCGATTTTTAAACGGATTTAACATTTTCGTCCCATATGCATCTTCACATAGGAAATTTCTGGGGAACCGTATCGAAGTCATCAAAGTCAAATCTCTGTCGCTCCCTCCCAACCTGAGGAAACAGAATTATCAGAACCAACAATAATTCACCTCTAAACCTCAAATCCTTACCTTGGTTAGGTATAGAGGATCATATGACATTAGCTCATCCATAGCATTCAGTTTCCTGGACAGTGTCATTATCCTGACAAAATACAGATATAAATACATCTGGTTTGAAGCCTATGACTTTACACTGGGCGTGCAATTGCGCAAGTATCTCCAAAGGAGAAAAGAGTAGAAAAAGGTGTTTTATCCTATCTATAATACTAGTGGTCCAGCAATGAAACTAACTAGATCAAATAAAAATCAACACAAAACAACTGACACTTAACCTTGACTGCTACCACAGTAACAACTCCAGCAGTTGCTTAAGAGGATTTCTAATGATAAATAAGGTTTTAAGAATGCAAAACAAGGTTTTGCTGGATAGAAGGTGCAACTTAACATGATTTGACACTTATACTCATTAAAACATGGACCTGGGCAATGGTTGATCAAATGATCACCAGGAAATGACAGTCAAGCAAAACAAACATAGGGCTATTGGAGAAAAACAAAATTTGACTTCAGACAATCCAGGAGAGATGATGTAACCCTAAGAGAGAGTACAGCAGTATATATTGTCCAAAAACTGTACCTCTGGATTGAGGAGTCGATGTGTTCAATCATCTCGCAGGTTTTATACTGTTCAGGATCCTCCAAGAACCTAACCATTCCATCCTTTTGATTAATGGTTGCAAAGATCTCACCATCTTGAATCTAAATATTAAACACTTATTAATTTAGACACAGTTTAAGAGATACAAAAAAGTAGAAAAGGAAAAAAATGATCAACTAGTCTAAATACCATTTGCAGAACATGCATTTCTGCCTCCTTTGGGCTACCCAATTGCACTGTGTTGGCTATATCTTGAAGTGAGAGAGTCAAGTATGTTTGAGTCAGCCTCTGGATGTTATGCTTGTACATGGAAGATACAACTTGCTTAACCAGACCTAGGTTTTTGTCCTGAAAGGAAATCATAATCATTCTCATACGCATAAACATGCCTTGGTATAGCTGTCGAGGCAAGTAGAGAAGAAAAGGGGTGGATGTTCAGCACTTACATTATCAAATTTCTCCCTATTTGTAAGAACATATGCCTCCAACTCCGCAATTTTCCCCGAGCTATAAGTAGTTGCTAACTCTATATAGGGCTGATTAGGGAGAAACAAGGTAAACAGAATAATAATCAAGAGATGCTGGGTTCATAATGGAGAAGCATAACAAACGGAACAATAATCAAGAGATGCCTCAAGAGAACAGGAAAAAGGAAAAGTACAGGATCATTAAATGAATGGTAATGTTCAGTTGCCCTTCAGCACAAACAAAACACACACACAACGAGTATAGAAAGGAAACGCCTGCAAAGCAAACTGTTTTTATAGGAACTTTACCTTATGCTTTTCTAATTACAGGAACTTCTGCTTTAAATTTCTGTTCAGTTGATCATTAAAACTAAATGCCTGATATCGATACTAGAAACAAACAATTTCTAATTGTGCTTCTGTGGTCATACGCTTGAAAACATATACATCGCTCTTAAAGCATGAATATGCCACTCGAATCTCTATCCTAAGCAGTAGGAGTAGGCGCAAAGCAACTTTCAAGGCAACACGGTCTTACAGCTTGTAAACACTAGTCAACTGTTCAACAGATGCCAATACAACAAGAATTACACTTTACAGGTAAAGTTGAAACCACCAGGTCATATATCCTATTAAAAGTCATGTCAGTGAACAATAACCAAACCAAACACAAACATGAATCCTATCAATACAGATTAGAAATGTTACAACGTGATACTCACACAGATGTGTTCGATTAAGCCTTCACGATTACCAATATGCACAAAAGTTAGTTTGGACTTGAACTGGTAAGAATGGAAATCACCATACAATAGGCATTTAATTCAAAAAGTAACTATCCTTGGAAATAGGGAGAGAATATACACAGCTATATATTGTAGCTTAATCTCAACTTTATTGCCCACATACAACATAAACCACCAACATCTGTGGGACCCAATCTACGCTATTAATAGATGCTTTACAGAATCTGACATACCTGGCAGAAGTTTTTTAAGTTCCTTTGAGCTGCTGAAGAAGCGTACTTGGGAAGACTAGTTGAGAACTGTGAAGAATAGTGCAAAACATCCATCATTCTCAAAAAAAAAAAATCAGAAAGTATATACATTGTCTCAAAAACAAACCAGCACAGTATCAAGGAAAGAAAGATTACTACCATAAGAAAAAAGTTCATATCATCAAGAGAAAAAAGTAGAAAACTAAAATGTTTCAATTATCATTAGAAACAAGTTTGCACGGGATCTAAGTACACATTTAGCAGAATAAGTACCTGCCCATAATGTATTAGTGAAACCAGTATGTACTTTTTATACGCTTCAACGGCGATAGCATTGATTATGTTCATTGGAGCAGTAACCACCTGGAATGTGAGATGACAACGGAAGAAAGTGGTCATAACACAGAACTGTACAATAATTTACAATATTTCAGTAGATGCATGTAGATAAATTACTCACATTGTGCAGAAGCTCCAATGCTTTTCGAAAACGCTTTTGACCTATGCATATCATACCTCTACAACCAAAGTAAATATCAATCAAAATAAAATAACAAAAAACACAAGACACACGTGAAAAACCAATTGCAGACAAAATGTGAGGAGATAGAATTATCAATGCAAAGCATTTAAAAGCTCATTCTCACAAACAAAAAGGGCAATAAATCAAGAGAAAATACTTTTAATGTACACAAACAATGCAGGAATATTCAAGCCTGATTCTTCTGAAGTCAATAAAACCACATCATGGGACTCGGCAAAATAACCACCCACTTGTTTTTGTGACGCGACTAAACCATCAGATTTCGTTGCTTCAAATTGAACATTCTATGATAAAGAAAGCTGATCCAGTTCAAACTTTCGTTAATTCCGTGGATAACCTATATAGTCAATATGCAGAAAATCAGATAATATTCTTGTTGGAGCCTCACTTAACATCGGAAAAACTCAAGAATTGGAGAAATTAATCCTGTTTAAAAGCTCATTTCTTGGTTTGTGTGGTGGACAATATGGCCAGCCCCACTTCATGGGATGATGCTTACTTATTTCTTTGCAGTTGAAAATATTTCTTGAACACACCTCAAGTGCCATTTTCTTACCCATCAAGGCCTAAAGTAGAAGCTTAGACAACCCTGCTACATCCTACCGTATCAGATATTACAGACACCTTTTTTCTAGTGCATTTAAAATTTTCATCCAATAATTGAGAAGAAAACTAATGGAACAACAAAGAATGGCAGTAGAATTAGTAACCTGGCACCCCAGTTTATACTTCAAACATCCATCCTTCATGCTAGATCATGGACTTAATGCACGTTACCTGAATACAAATGTGCAAATGTACACTAGAGAAAAATAGACAAACATACAGGCGAAGCTCACCCGTAATAACAGTATAAGAAAAGGTCCCTTGGCTGATCAACATCAAATATATCATCCTCCAAAACTGATAGACCGATTTTATAGCTCTTGGACAATAAACAAAGAAGGAGAAAATCTGGGTGTAAGGTAGTCAAGTGTTCGGAGGTAGTCTGAAGCTTTCGGACAGCTGTGCGCATCGGAGAAACGCCACGCAGTGGGGATTCAATCAACAAAACATGATCCTTGAACCTTTTGCAGACAGAGACAACTGCAAGCTCAAATAAGAAGAATCAATGCTGTGAGTTAGCATCCGATGATTAACAATACAAGGCGAATCACAGTTTGCTTTGAGGTATAGACGGGTACATTTATCAGGTGCCAAACGAATCTGTTGCGCATCACAGCAATGAATAAATCTGGCGAGAATCGGAACGAGGGTAAGGGCCTGCTCTTTTGAGACTGGACCGGACGTGAAGGCCTCTCTGTTGTATATTCAGAAACATACGACACAACAATCATGTGAGAAGCGATACAAGAAGAATGTCTCGAGAAATCATTTTCTGTATGCTTAAATCAGCACAATTTACTACACATGCCACAAAATCTCTACTCTTTTCCTATCCTCACTACCACCAAAGAAATACAATACTTTCAAATTCATAAGTGCCATCTTTGCAATAGCAGCCACTACTTCTAGCACTTCTAAAGTTCCAGCAATTATTTCACACGAGATTGATTTCCTGAGTATATCACCATCCGATCCCTAGTCGCTAACTAAGAAACTGCACAATAAAACACATCGGCGCAAGCAAATCCCAATCGATACACCGTCCCGAATCCTAAGCACGGGCGATTGAAAGGCATCGACGCCGAAAGGGGGCCGTCGAAGGATCTCCGAAACCCTAGCTAGCCTAATGCGGTGAAGCTCGACGAAATCGCGGCCGTTTTAAGCGGCGGCGGCGGCGGCGGAGGGAGGGAGGGAGCGAAGCGAGACTCACAGGATGTAGAGGTAGCCGAGGGAGTGCTTGGCGGGGTCGACCTGGTCGAGGACGGAGCTGAGCACGCCGGACTCGGAGTGGAGCGACTCGTCGGCCAGCCTCAGGATGTTGTGCAGGTGAGCGATGTCCTCGACGCTGCCGGAGAAGCCTTGGATTTGGGTCACTAGGTTCTCGAGCGATCCCATGGCTTCGGCCCCTAGAGTTCAGAGCTCAGTGTCCTATGGAAGCTATGGTGAAGAAGAAGAAGAAGGATCGGAGGAACCGGCGACATGGAAGAAGAGCGCATCGACTCGGGCGTTTTTGACTCAGTTTGGAATCGGCCGAGTCGACGGATCATCGGGCTCGGTGGGCTGAAATTGGGCCTTTGGGCTGTGATGGAATCTCGGCCCATATCTTATGGATTGGCCCTCATCTTGGGTGTGCATTTTGGTTGAAAACGGACCGGCCCGTTTGGGTGGCGAAAATGGTTTTCAAATTTTTATTTTTAATTTTCTATTATCGATAATTTTGGAAAATAGAAGCATCATAATTTTTTTTCTTGAAAACGTGTTTATTTGTGTTGTTTTTTTTAGAAAGGTGCGTTTCCAATTTCATGGAAAACCGGGTCTTTATTCGAAATGAAATATATGAAAAAGTACTTATTTTTCAATCTGTGATTATAAAATGTGAAGACGATTTTTCTTATTTCACTTTTAAAGCATTTTAAGTAGCAAATAGCGGCAATAGCCCATGAATTCACTTAAGATTAATTCTAGCTTTTATAATAACTTGGTTTAAGGTAATTTAGGTCGAGAGACTATAACAGGAATCTCCCTTACAGAATAGTGAATATAGATAAAGATTAGATTTCAAGTTTCACCGTTTCGAGGAGTTGCCTCTCACGAAATTGACCGTTGTATCGTTTCTATCGACTTCTCCAAGATTTGCTTCATTCTTAACCTTCATATCATGCTTTGCACACTCATTTTGGTTTTATATTTTTACTAACATTTCAATTTGTACACTTCTCTAAGGTCCGCGTCATTCTCGCTCTAGCCTCGTGATCACAATCCTCGCTCGTTCGAGCCTCGCCTTGTTCGCTCGAACTTCACTTCGCAACCCCTCTGCTCGCTCTAGCGACCCTCTCGTTCAAGGCTCTCTTCGTCTCGGACAACAATCGAGAGGTAAAACCCCTTGAACTTCCTACGGTCCTTGCCTATTTGTCAAATCTCTTGAATTTCTATGTATTGGAAAAATCAACAGCGACATTGGAAGGAATTTTGGTTTGTTGTAACTTCATGGAATTTTGGAGCCATAATTTCCCATCATGTTAGCTGCACATTGCTGCGGAAACCGAGCTGCAATGAAACAAAAGAAAACGAAACCACAAAAAAGAGGAGAAAAGTGGTCGGTTCCATGATCCAGAGAGTTAGGCCCGGTTTGGTTCAACATTCGGCCTAGCATTGGCCAAATAGTAGCATTTGGAATGTTGAACCCAAATTTTTTATCCCCAAACTGCCTTCACTTATTTTGGCTTGTTCCGGTTTTGCCCCTCTTAGTACTGTTCATCTTCTTCATGGCAGACGAGGGAGGCCGGCGAGGGCGGCCGACACCAGATCGTGCCGGCGAGGTCGCACGACCCAGGCGACGGCCGCATGAGATCGCGTGATCGCCTAGGCGCCGGCCGCTTGGGTTGCGCGACCCTCGCCGAGGGTCGCCTGGCCTCGAGCGACCACCGCCGGCGACAGATCTAGCTTGCCGGTGGTCGCCCGACCCCAGGGACAGCCGCCGACGCCAGATCTAGCTCGCAGGTGGCTGTAGGCCCTCGCCGGCAGCCGTAAGCCTTCGTCGGCTCCGGCGAAAGGTAGGATAGGTTTTTTTTTTTAATAAAAAAGATGATTCCCAAAGTCCTTTTACAAAAAAAAAATTACCAAACACTACTTAGACCAAAGTAGCTTTACAAATGATTTTTTACCAAACGTCACTTACATTTCCCCAAGGGACTTTAACCTAAAGGTATTTGCATTCATTCAAGTAGCATTTCCAAAGTTAAACCAAATGGGCCCTTAGTTCGGTTCCCAATTTTAAAAACTGAAAACCAGTCCTGACATCTGACATGTAAGTTTAAGAACATGTCCATCGCGAAACTGACCACTCCCGAGGCACTTATTAGTATATAGGCAATGATAGACAAAATTGAGGAAAATAAGAGTAAATGGATGTTCAAATAAATAAACATATAATTTTTTATTCGCAGTAAATAATTTTAATTCTTTTTTTTTGTTAGAAAAAATAATTTTAATTCTTGATTTGCTTGGTGGAGGATTTGAACTTCCGTCGTGGAGACGTTGTCCCTTCCGCGAAGAAGACGATGAAACAGGGTTTAACCATTTCGCTAAAACCCTAGGCCAATTCCTTCAACCCAGCAACTTCGGATCGAACGATGGCCATGTCCATGTACCTGCGACGCGCGATCTCATGCCGGAGCGTCCTCCTCCGTCGGTGCATCGACCTCCGGAGCCGCGACTTCTCTCCCGCCGCTCGCTCCGGCGTCTTGCCCGATCCCGATCCCGATCCCCGGATCGGGCCTCCGTTCCTCGCCCCCGCCGAATTCGTCAGGTTAAACGCCAGAGGCTTCGCCAAAGGCAAAAAATCAAGTAAGCATCCCCCCCTCCCTCTCTCCGTTGGATGGCAAATGGCATCTGAGCTGGCCAGCTAGCGTCGTCACTGCGTGTTGTTTGTTCATGGTTTGTTCGGTTCGCGTGCTCTAGAGGATGATTCGGCTGCCGGTTCGGTCGACGTCGCGACGGACATTGGGCCGAGCGTCAAGGAAGCTGCCAGGTCCCAAATGGATGCCGCCGTGGTGGCGTTATCGCGCGAATTGGCGAAACTTAGAACCGGAAGGGCGTCTGCAGGTTGGTTTCGCCGGACTCGATGCCATCGTTAATTTTTCTCGCGGTGTCACGTGTTGGTCTTTTCTAGTAGTTGATCGCCCCGTGTGATGGATTTTGCTAGGGATGCTCGATCACATTATAGTGGAGACTACTGGTGTAAAGATGCCTCTGAATAGGTTAGCCGTCGTGTCGGTGCTGGATCCGAAGACGCTGTCGGTCAATCCTTATGATCCAAATGTAATGAGCTCCTTTTCCTGAGTGCAATGGGCGTGTGTTTTGGTATCTTTTCTTTTTATACCAATGCATTTGTTTTGGGTTTCTTCCAATTTCTTTACGACTGTAATTGGAATTCTTTGCATTTGTTCATCCAATGGATTTTTCCCCTCTCCTGCAGACAGTGAAGGAATTAGAGAAAGCTATTGTTTCTTCTCCTTTAGGATTGAATCCTCAGGTGGACGGTCAGCGTCTGATTGCCAATATTCCTCCGTAAGCCCTGTTCTGTACTTAGCTTATTTGAATTCGACAACTTATGTTGATGCAAATTGGGAGGTTTCTCTTGATTTGTAAGTTGTCATGTTTTTGGTATTCCAAGTTTCCTGTATTGACTTGTCACCTTTGTGTTGTTAGGTTGACAAAAGAGCACATGCTGGTGGGATATTGCTGATCTGTGTTCCGGTCAATTTCTGTTTCTCCTTCCTGTCTGTAACAATTTTTGCTCTGTGCAGGCAATGACTAAGGTGGTTACCAAGTCCTGTGAAGATGTTAAACAGAGTATAAGGAGGGCTCGACAGAAGGTATTTTCTTGGATCCTTTATCGAGGTTTGGACTATGAAGTGCATGTCGTGGAGGACTAGTCATTGTAGTGATTGATTATGAATACAAGAAATCGTGATGGTGAACCACTGTACATCAAAGATGATATCCGCAATTTATGTTTAATACTTTACTCTCCGCTCCATTGTGTTTTTGGAGAATGCAAGCCTCTGATTTGCTTGGGATATTATCTAATCATATTTGGGTCATTCTTTTGCTTTTACTTTGAAAAAGTGTGCTGTCACCTGATCTTAAGATGGTCCTTCATAGGAGTGGGATCATTGTTTCCATGAGGGAATGGAAGCTCGAAAATGACTACCGTTCACATATGCAAAGTCATGGTGATGTTTAGGGCAATATAAAGTAAAGCTTTGGGAACATAGACTCGCTTAGTGCAATTCAAGGTGCATGGACTGTTGCGGAAGTACTCAAGTTGAACCATTAATTCTCGGAATGGAGTTGCTAAGTTGCATACATCTAGGATGTTGTGTTGCTGTTTGTTTGGGCATACTAAGTTCTCGTGCAACAGCATTGAGTGTGTTGAAAGAATGGTTGCTCATAGATTTTCTAAAGTGTGTCGGGGGCAATATTTTACATGCTGTAGTTCCCGATATGGGCATGTTGCAAATTGGCTTCCAAGACTTAACATTTGATAGAAGGAACTAAATGTTATATATCGAGCCTTCTACGTGTGACAGACTCACTGTAAATATAGTAGTTTGAGAGAGTACAGGTGTTTTAGTAGCCTGCAGTTGCAGCTAGCTCATGCTCTGTCCTTCACAAAATTGTTCAGGCATTGGATACAATAAAGAAAGCTGGTTCCAGTTTCCCCAAGGATGATGCAAAGAAATTGGAGAAAGAGGTGAGTAACGGGTTTATCATCTGTCATGCGAGTCAAGCAATCATCTCATCTCCTCCTTTTCTTTTTTCTGCAGGTAGATGAGTTGACTAAGAAATTCGTTAAATCGGCCGAGGAGTTGTGCAAAGCGAAGGAAAAGGAGATGATTTCAGGCTAAAACGTCGGCTGTTAGCAATTTCTAAATGGAGTTCGAGAGCTCATTTGGAGAGCAGTCGCCCAAAATTACGTAATTGCTCCTCTGATCGAAAAAATCTGTTGTTGTCATATTCAAATGTACGGACACAACCGACCGTTGAGATTTATTGTGGGCGGATCTGTTTTTTGCTTGATGATACTTCCGAGGGTAATCCTGCTTAAATCTCACTGCCAAATGTGGTGGTGGAGCTATAGGCGTTCATTGACATTGGTTTTAGCAGTGGGACACGGCAGATGAAAGCAAAGTTCTACCAAATTGGAGCCCTTCTAATGAGAAATTATTAGAAGTTTTTAATGCATTACACAGATAGGGAAACATTTACAACCACTGCAATCTGAATCTGGATTGCATCAGCTCATATCCTAAAAATCTGTACATCAAAATAATGCAGAGGACCGTGGTGTTCTCTATTTGCCAAAAGTGATGTCTCTGGTAACAAGCTTTATGCCTCGGACCCAAAGTTCAGCCTCCTCTGTCCCACCCTCACAGACAAAGTGAACCTCCTTGTTCTCGGCAGTCACCACCCTGAAAATCCCGGGATCATCAGCACCACCTTTCCTCAGCCTATTCTTCTGGAAGGCCGGGCTTGGCCCGACCTCGACCTCTCGGCACATTACGTTTCTGCGGCTCGATTTCCCCCACCTTAGCACTCCAGAGTTTCTGAGCACCCTCACATCTTTCTCGTGTGGAGTTCCCTTTCCTCCTTTGGTGTGTTTCCACACTCGAGCACCACCCAAAACGACATTACGCGCAAGCTCATCTAGGATCACATTGACCGTGCCATTTACCGTGCCGCTATTTTTCCTCGCGACCGAGAGGACAGTTTCGCCTCTAGAGTTCTTGAAATCACAACGTGACCCACTCGATATCAAAAGCTGGCACATGGATATGTGGCCTTCCCTTGCAGCCAACATCAGAGGAGTGTACCCGTCCCCATCTGGGACGTTGACGTCGTAACCTCTGCTCACCAGTAGTTTGACTGCATCAAGGTCTCCATGCCGAGCTGCAAAATGTAAAGCGTAAAACCCCCACGCACTGCAGCTGCCCTTTTCAAGTGCAAATTCCAGCATGACCTTCTCGAAAAGGTCCCTGTTTGGGTTCAGTTTAGATATGGTAATTGCAGTTTCACCTGCTTTGTTACATAGCTTAACATCTGCACCGGCGTAGACCAGTAAGCCGAATGCTTCCACATGCCCCTTGAGAGCAGCAATCATGACGGCTGAAAAGCCATTTTCATCTTGGTAGTCAAGGTTGATGGCTTCAGAACCAATGAGAGTCTTTAAGGCCACAGTATCACCGGCTTGGGCTGCTAATAACAGTGGGGAGAAAACAGTGTGATTGCTGGAATAAGGAATCTTCCCAGCTTGGATCACATCTACTACTGCTTGTTGAAACCCGAGGTACCACCGGTTTGATCCGGCAATTGAACTTGCAGATTGACCGAAAATATTGGTAAGGCCAAAATCTGCGCCAGCCATGGCCACTATCTTAAGACACTCCCTGTGCTTATATTTTGCACAGATCATCAGAGCCGTGTCACCCGAAGCTGTCCTGGAGTTCAAGTCACAGCCAAAGTCAATTAAGCATTGGACAATTGTTGAAAGACCAAGACGGGCAGCCAAGTGTACTGGACGAATGCCGGTTTTAGCTGCTGTAACAATGGCAGTTTCTTTGTCGGCACCCGATTTTAGGAGCACGTGTACAGCCCCTGAGTTGCCGCACAAGATGGCATGATGGAGGAGAGTTCTTCCATGATGATTCTTATTGGGGGATATGTGCTGGAGAAGCATACGCAAGACAGTACCACTAGCTTCGAAATACTCCACAGCACACCAGGTGATTGGATAAGGCTCAGCTAGTCCAGCACCAACTCGAAACTCTTCATCAGAAGCTTCGTCCCATGACCATGCTCCCAGTCTTACATTGACATCCGTTCTTGCACCAGCCTGTTAATGTGACCACATTATGTCATGAAGTAGATGACAATGAAGAACACTATTCTTTGATAAAACCTCAAGATATGGATACGAACTAATTCTCAGGCAATTAGAAATAAAAGGATGCATTTGAGGGTCACGACAGTATATGGCTCGATGAACTGAAACTTGGCATACCTGTAATAGCAGATGGACAACAGTGACCTGGCGACTAACAACAGCAGCAACAAGAGCAGTGCAGTCAATGTTTATATGCAGAGACGGCTTAGATGACTTGAGAAGAAATCGATCAGATGCACTTGGATTCACTCCACACTATCAGAAGTTCAACAGTCTCAGTCACAGTAAAAGAATCAGTAGCAGAGTACAGAAAAAATTTAAAATAGTTGGTTAGTCAAAGCCACTGTAAAAGCATTATTGGATATGTCTATCTGCCATTCTATTCCAAGGAAGGGCCTGCCCTTAGCAAAGGGAAATGAAGCGTACGCTAGCTGACATAATGCCGTCGAATCTTTTTACAGTAAGTAGGATTAGTCATAAGAATCTTTCTAAGCCATTGAATTAAGTAGCAGAATATGTCTATCTATGCCGTATGTCTTGAACCAGTTGTTTTATGCACTACTATACTGACATTATGTTGTCTAGAATGCCCGGACTGTTGTTCAGGTTATAGCATGAGTTACCTACGGCATAGATAAAGAAGATACAAGGATTTACCTCTCACTACTCTACAAGTTTACATGTTTCTATTCGGAGATAAACTCCATGATGCCATTTAATTTAATCATGTACCTTAATGAGAGTGTCCACTACATCAGTAAACCCCCTGCAGGAAGCGGTGACAAGAGCATGCACAGCGACATGAGGCCGAATAAGATCAGAGCCCATCAAGAGCTCCACCAGCCTTGCGCGTCCATGACAGCTCCCTTCCAACAGAGCCTCCTCACAGGCTGACTGACTAGCCCCAGCTTTCAGTAAGATCTCCAGAATCTCGAGGTGGCCCTCCCGTACTGCTGCCGTGGTTGCACAGCCCTTGAAGAGATTCTGGTTCACATCAGCTCCTGCACTCTGTGATTGATGATAATAGCTAGATGTTAGCACACAAAGATAGTGAAAAGACCCAAAAAAGGTGGACTTCTACTGTTGTTCACTTTTTTTTTTTTTTATAGCTTATATTCGACTGAGATCTTGATGGAACAAGGACAAGCGCAGAGACCCATTACCAAAGTTTTGGATTCTTCCCAGGCTACAAATAATGGCCACACCAACATATAGCCAAAAGAGAAAAAAAATAACCTGATGTGATGGACAAGAAGGCTTGGAAGTATCATTAACAGTGCATAAGAAAGATCATTGAAAGATGAGACATTGTGCCCATGCGAATTGTCGTGCGCTTCAGGATCTTTTCAATTGGCCCGAAGCAAAATTGCATATGGGCCTCATAGTCGTGTAGTGACTGGAACAGATCGCAACTTAGCAAATTCTATCTGTTTCGCCGATTCTTACCGGCACAAAACACACGTGTATCCTGGTGGGTAAGCCGACAGTAAATATCGATTGCTAAGACAAAATTATCACCGGATAGGACATTTGTTCTAGCAGGCAATTGGTGGGTAATCGAGTTTCATAAGGTAATCATCTGACCCGACTCAAAAAAGATGCAGAAAAGATAATAAATGCCTTCTCCTCTAGCAATGCCGACAAAGAAATTTTCTCCAATATGAGGAATCGGATTCGAACCTACACTTTAGAAACGCATACGAGATTACCAAAAGAGTTCCCCAATTTATGTTCCATTTCAAAAACCAAAAAAAAAACCCGACATTTATTTTCGGGACCAAAAGAGGGAAAAAAGCACAAAGCGACATAAAACAACCATTCGTAATAATTAAAGAGCTTCGATTTCAAACATGGTGCCCGCCTTTGCTTTTCCAGCGAAAAAAACCTTAGCAGTTAGTGCGGTTTTTGAGAGGATAACGTCTCAGCAAATGTCGCGGCTGAGGAGATCCGCGCGTTTAAGAAAAACGGTAACGTTGGCTTGCGGTTCGAGATGTAACTGATTCCAAAGGGGGGGATTTGAAATCGAGCGTTGTTTGAATCCGTGCTAGCTTCAGCTCGATCGCTATGTGGAAATTGGCAGAACTCAATCAATACCAGAGGGAAAAAGACAAGTGCAAAAAGAAAACTCGCATCGAAGTTTGCAGAGCATTTCAAATTTACACGAAACGAAACGGCTCCAGCTGAAGCTCGTGATGAGCTCTGGAACGATATCCGCTCGAAGAACAAAAGAGAGGGATTCGATGGAGGAGATGAGCCAAGCAGGAGCTAAATCCACCATGAAGATAAAAAAATTTGTCAGAAGATGAGAAACGTGTCGCGTGAAGAACGCTGAAAACTCGCTGAACGTAAGCTGAGAAAATGGAAAACAGCTTCGCAGTTTAAAGTTCGAAACCAAGATTGGAGCTCGTGAAAAATGAAGAATGGGCACAGATTTTGACGGAAAATGCTCAGTTCAGGCGCTGCAGAGAGCTTGGAAAAAAGAAGAAAGTGGAAGGAAACAGCGGAAGCGTTACCAGGAGCTGCTTCACCAGAGCCACATTGCCGGCGTGCACGGCGAGGAACAGGGCCGTGACGTCCGTCCTGAACTCCTCGTACTCCACCCGGACCTCCACGGCGGACTCCCTGCGCAGGACGACGTCGGCCTTCCTGGTCTTCAGGCTCACCGCCCCGGCGTAGTTGACGTCGACGAGCGGGTCGGCGAGGCACTCGACCACCGACCCCGCGCCGCCGCCGAGGAGGGCGGCCTCCAGGAGGCGCTGCGAGACCTCCGCGGCGCAGTCGACCGGGACCACCTGCCTCCCGTTGAACGCCGGCATCGCGGTCCGGGAGGGCGCCGCCGCCGCCGCCGCCGCCGCTCCTCCGGGCGCCGCCGCCGCCGCGTCGCGCTTCCTCTGCAGCATCATCAGGTGCGGTGCGCTTCGGAATCAAAATCTCTATCGCGCTAGCGCCGTCTCTCCTCCGTCGGGTTTCTCTCTCTATCTCTAGAAACGCGAGCACCTTTAGAGAGAGAGAGAGAGAGAGAGAGAGAGAGAGAGAGACTTCAAAAGAAGTGAGCGCCAGAGTCTAGAAACGCAAGGAGAGGGAAAGGAGCAAGCGCGGTATATATGATGTTTTTTTTTTTTTTAATTTTGTTATTATTGGAAAGAAACGGCTGAATAATATATATATTTGATTATTTATTTGTCGTTCTTTTTATTTTTTTGTCGGAATTATTAATTTATCGTTCAATTAATTACTTTTGAATTTTTTTGAGTATTCTTTTTTTTTAACCACCCGGACATCGCTCCTTTTTCGCGACGAGATTCGTGAAAATTTTATTCAATTCTACTGCCTCCACCCCACCCAATTCGTAATTCGCGTAAAATCTCGTATTAATTAATAAGGAACCCCTTCCTTTTGAATTCTAAAAAGTCAATTTGAAATTTGAAATTAATAGGCTAGGCTCCTTAAAATAGATACACACATTTCCTTCTTGTTGAGGCAAAGAACGGTAACGGGAGGTTCACCTCGAAAACGGAATTTCTTTGCATAAAGCTCCGAGCTATCACCAATTACATGATCGGGATCGTTCGATGAGGTTGGTTTCATGCGAGATCTCCGTATGAACGGTTGATATTCTTTTATGGAGTTCGGTAAATACGGCTTCCGGGATATGACGAGTCCTCTGCCTCCGGTTTCAACGGCGATTGTAGGAGCTTCCGGAATCTCGCTGAACCGCGAAGATGTGCTTTCACAAATGTCCGGATCTTATCCGTTCAATCCACTCTAGTCATTTTCGAACGACGATAGGGCAATGAAAACCGAATCTAGGCGCGCACCACCAACTAGCAACTCTGTCATTCCTGGAGCATCTGCCCATCACCGATAAAGATACGAGATCCAGTGATCGACGGCCGATTATTTTTTATGATAGATCTGTTCATATGGGTCAAGTACGTGCTTGCTCTTTTGCTCCTCCTTATTTTTTTGGATTTGATTTTGTTTTGCAAGTATTTTGGGTCTTGTTTCACTTCGACTTATTTTGCTTTGAAATTTACGTACTTCTCATGTACCCTTTCGAGCGATCAATATAATTTTGAGATTCGCTCGACCCAACTCGATCCATGTCTATTGCGGATCAATCTAACTTAGTCCAAACAAATTCTCCGATAAAAGAGGGCCAAAAGATCAGTTGGTTAGGGCGTACCCACTCATGGGTAGCTCAGTTGGTTATGGCGTACTTGGGATTGTGTGGTTAGTGTGGTGATCCCGGTTCGATTCCCCACCGAAAGACTTGTGATTTAAGTGGGGGCCATGGCGGTGGAGTTCTTGTCTTTAATCTCCCCGAGGAATAGTCGAGGTGCGCGCAAGCTGGCCCTGACATCTCGGTTACCAAAAAAAAAAAAAGATCAGGTTGAGGTCAGGCTTTAGCAGAGTGATGCCTCCTGGCTCAGCGCACACCCTGCAGCAAATACCGGGAAACTCTCTATCCCCGCGAATCTGCTGTCTCCCTCCCTCTTTTTCTCTCTTTTGTTTTATCTCTTTTTCGAGTGGGGGCAAATTCTGATGTCTATGAAGCAACCTGAAACGTGCAGATTATAATAACATACGAACATAATTATACGATATCCGAACTGAGCAGGCTAGTACCTACTGAGATATCTCACATGACGATTTGGCTCTGGAAAAAGGAAAAGGCAAAGGAAGGTAAAAACAAATCGATTTGCTGAGGAAAAGACGCATCAGGAATTGCGTCCGACCATGTGTGGGTGTCAGAGACGAAGGGCCATGCCATCGCCCGGCTTAGCGACGACCCCCCGACGACGGTGCATGTGGTGGCCAAATTCTTCGCGGTACGTATCGTGTGTGCATTGGCCATGGCCATGGCCATGTTCGCGCACGGCCAGTTTTCTAACCCGAGATTTGGTTATTTATATCGTCATTTATTGAGGATCTGTCCAGATAAGTCGGAACATCCTATCTCTTGAATCGGTAGATCTTCCGTGTTCGGTTTCGGCACTTAATGCTCGGATGGGACAGCATCCGATGAGAAATGAGCCGTCTCGCTTCATTTGGTGACGGCTCTCTATGTATATACGATTTCCTCCCACTTATCAATCGTCTTTCCCTTCACACGGATTCGTGATTAACAAAACTCGTTATAAGAAAGTGGCGAATCATACACAATTTTCCACACACCCACTTTCTCGTGTGTGTGTGTGTGTGTGTGTGTAGCGCGGGAGCCTTGTCGATAGAAACGCACGATCGGTGCCTCAACTGATCTCCAGAGCCTGATGTAGGAGTTACAAATTCTATACGACGGTGCCTTATCTGCATGGATCATTGGCATATGAAGAATGGACGAGACACTGGTAATGAAAGCATCGAACAGAGGATCTTATCCCTCGCAATTGCATCCATATCATCAATACGGGCAGAAGTTAAAGAAAGCAATAGCAACTATGATAGAAACCATAAATGCGGAAGTACTTGCAGCATGTACACTTGCTCCGATATCTAGTCAGACAAAGCCCGTACGTATAACGTGCACCCAAGCAATCTTCCCGTTCCGAGCAATCATACGTCCCGGGGAAATCTTTGTGAGGGACATGGAAATATGATTCGGCGACCCCGGACTCCACCTCTACCAACCAGGCCACGGTGGGTGCCGAGGAGAGGAGGTGGGGGGGGAGTACAATGTACTTGGTCCAATTATGGTGGTGGGGGAAGGCATGGATGCACGGCAAGAAAATTAGAAGAGCAATTCGAGCTCGAAGATCTCTCTCGCCGGCCAGGGTGTCTCGTCCTGCTCACGGTTAGCCAGTCTCCGTCCGAGTGGTTGACGCGGTCAGCCTCGGGCCATGGGGGGACTACGTCCGTCCTCGACTTTTAATTCGACTAGTCTCTAATTATGGATAGTTAGAACTCTCTTAATACGTATCGAGTAAAGCGCCGTCCATAAAGCGGCAGGTGCCACGTGTCTATAAACTTATTTCAAACGTGTAGTTGAATATCAAGCGCTCATCGATTATGCCGTTTCGGTTCGGGTTAGATGGGTTCGAGTCGCGTCGAATGCATACTCAAATGTTGCGGTTTGGTTCGGGTATCACGGAAATCCAAACCGAACTGAACAACCGTGCTCGGACAGTATACATGATGGTCAACAGCAGTACTTGAGAAGCTACTTCTTCTCTTTCTGCTGCGGCTCCGGTCAAAGCATCTTTTTGACCGTGTCTTAATTCTTTTGGTTTCTCCCTTTTGTCTTCTACGTTCAGAGGAGACCTCTCCTGGCTTGACGCTCAAGTTCCCAGTTTTAGCTCCCAAAGACACCGTCGTTTCACCGATTACTGCGGGCGGTCGCCTGTCGGACCTCTCTCGGCGTTCCCCCGTTCCCACAACCACACGGCGCATCCCGCTTTGGTCAAGCCCCCCGAACGGAGCACCGAAAGGTGGGGATCTTTCCCACGCGCGATCTCTCACTTCTTAGGGTGCGTATGGCAACGATTCTGTTCTCGGGAACTGATTTTACTCAGAAATTATTCTTTTTAATTCCGTGCTCGGAAACAATTTCTAAGCATTTGAAAACGTTTGGTAACTGCTCAAAATTTCTATTCTTGGAATAGAAAAAGAACAGAAATGCGTTTGGTAACTACACAAAATTTCTTTTTATTAATAATATTTTCAATTTTTTAATATTTCTTTTTTTTTTCTTTCTTTTCCTTCACTTCCTTAGTCATGGCCGGTCACCAACGCTGGCAACCAGCGACCGGCCAGAGGCCAGAGGCCAGGGCCGGCGAGGGCGTCGCGGCCCTCGCCGCTGTCGCGACCCATCTCCCTCGCTGGGGTCGTGACAGCGAGGTCGGCCTCGCCATGTCTAGGCGAGGCCTCGCCGTCGCGGCCATGATGCCCTCGCCAACCTTGGCCTTTGGCCGGCAGCCGGCCAAGAAGAAGAAGAACAACAAACCAAGAAGGAAGAAGAAAACCAAGAAGAATCGAAAATGGAAAAATTGTTCCCAGAATCAAGAAGCTACTTTTTTTTTTTGCTTCTTGATTCTGTTTCAAAATTAATTTTGGGAACAATTTTTTGCAAATTTGTGTCCGCGAACAAAAAATTTAACAAACGGATTTCTGTTCCCAAACTAATTCTGGGAATAAAAGAATGGAAATTTTCACTATTTAGCAACTTGCCAAACGGGCCCTTAAGGGTGCATATGGCAACGATTCTGTGCTCGGAAACAGATTCTGCTCAGAAAGGATTCTTTTTTATTTTGTGCCCAGGAACAATTTCTAAGCATTTGAATGCGTTTGGTAACTGCCCAAAATTTTTATTCGTAGAATAGAAAAATAACAGAAATGCGTTTGATAACTACACAAAATTTCTTTATTAATAATATTTTGAATTTTTAAATATTTTTTTCTCTTTTTTTTCCTTTTTTCTTTTTTTTATTTCTTTCCTTGGCCATGGCCGGTCGCCGGCGCCAGTGGCAAACCGGGAAGAGATGAAGAACAAAATAAAAAAGGAAGAAGAAAATTAAGAAGAATCAGAAATGGAAAAATTGTTTAGCTTCTTGATTCTGTTCCAAAACTGATTCTGAGAATAATTTTTTGTAAATTTGTGCCCGGGCACAAAAAATTTTAACTGCCAAACGCCCCCTAATCGAAGTACCGATCCTCAGCAACCAACTGCTAAACCTGTCCATGCAATTGAGATTCCAAAAAACGTCGACAAGCTGCCATCTCACACGTGTGGGAATCCTAAGGCCAAAAAAGCAAAAGGCCAAAAAACGCATAGGAATCCTGGCGAGGCTCGTCTAATCATACTAAGGTGTGTAGATTTGATTTAAGATTGCGACCATAATCTTACTCCGTCGTACTTTGTTAGTGTCCCCCCCATCGACCGACGTTCGTTCTTTGGACTTTCTTGGCTTGACTGCATGCTAATCAAAACCCTGAAGATTAGTTTAATCGGGTCACGTCACGTCAGAAATCCAAGTCGAATATCTTCGGGACTTCTGTTGGCTGCATTTGCCCTCGGTCACAGCTCAGATGCCAGATAGAGCATTCCTCCTCGTCTTGGATTTTTCCTTCTTTTTTTTTCTAATTGTCGGGAC